CAAAAAAAAAAAAAAGCTTAATAATTATTTGTTTACTTTATTAAACATTTTTATCAATGTAAGTTGTTTAAGTTGCTTCATTTTTTATGCTGATAATACATTCTCTTTAATTCTATAAACAGACATAATTTCTTGTTCAGTTACAAAGTTCCGCTGTTCAAGTCCTATAATTGCTGTGTCTACCAACTAATTTGTCTCAATCAAAATTTTTTCGTTTTCAATAACCTCTGTTACTTTCTTCGCTATCGGAAGCGAATTATAATGACGAGGAATTTGATTTAAATCATATCAAAGATGGAGTACATCAAGGTGAAATACTACATTTAGTAAGGAATTATAGGCCAAAAAAAATAAAAACATCTGCCCTGAAGATAAGGATAGTGCTGACAGATCAACTTCCAATTCATTGCGTGCCACAGCGTTAAAGGTAAACAAAGTTTAGATAAACAAAAAATATGTCTTTATCCATTTTTTGCAGCAATTCCACTTTTTGTTTAATGGAAACATTCTTTTGCTTTGTAGATCCTTTACATATTAGTAAATATATATCAGAAATTCTATTTGACATAATCGAAAGTTCAAGCTTACTTTCATAAAATTGCTCTAACAGTCTGCAAAAAATAATAAGCCGGATCCAATTCGAAGATTAAGGAACAATGCAATCTGCAACATTAACTGAAATAGATAATTAGATAATTTTAACTTAGCTTATACCATCCATTATACGTTAAAGGCGCATTCGTAAACGTATTTTGTGCACGCGCAAACGCATATTCGCAGCCGTAAAGGTTAATGAGACGCATGTGCAGAAAGTTTGTAGCTTTGAGGTCCGGATTATAGATCATTCCCGATTATGGGTGTCCAAATTAACGACTTTTGACTGTATTTATTTTGCATTATATGTATAGTTTTAAGTAAATAAGGTAATTAATTATAAGTAAGAAATTGCCTAATACTTGCACTAATGTTGCAAAGTAATAAAATAATAATTTAAATTCTAGTAAATTATTTAATATATAATCTCCTTTGAAAACAATAGTTAGAATTCTATGAATTGATATAACTCATTCACATATTTAAAATGGAATTATTAAAATTTAATAGTTAAAAGTGAAAATGTAACCAACAAACTAAATAATTATCGTCATTAATCGGAAATTGTCTGACTTTCCAAGGAGAACAGACTAACTTCTTACCAATTAACAATAATTAATAGAAGCAAAAATGTTTTGTCTTTTTCAAAAGTAAGAATCAAGACGAAAAAAACTTAAACTGAGTTAAAAATTATTCATAGTGCTAATTAAAAATCAGGAAGAAACTGGCAGCATGTCAGCATTTAAATGCTATCTTCAAATCAGAATATATAATTCTTACAAGAATAAGTTTAGTTTTCTTATTTGAGAAAATTGCCCCCCGACACTTTCTCCTATGATCATATTAAAACAATGCAAACTTATTAAAACAATTAAACTAAGAACAAGTGCATAAAAATTTTCTCATCAGACTAAAATGATAAAATAAAATTTGCTGTTAAGACTAAAATGATAAAATAAAATTTACATAATATACATTAAAGGACAAAAAAAAGAATTTAATTAACTTACCTGTTTGCTAGCTGTGTAACTGTTAAAATGTCTGTTTCTGTTACTCAGAATGAAATTTGGAATTAGAACCCGGATGAAGAATAGAGAGGAAGAGAGAGAGAGCATAGGTGGGGACATGTTGGAAGCTATTTTTAGAATGTGGCAAAAAGAAGTGGCATGTGTTGTAGCTGAAAGTTTTTGCACGGAAAAGTATTCAGGTAAAATTTATTATAAAACTAATGAAACAAAAGAAATTAATTTCTGGCTAATTGTCATATTGAAAAGGAATAAAAGAAAAGTACAAGAGATCTTTACTGCTCAAGAGCTACTAAGCAGGCTTAGAAATTTGAAATAGGCCTATTCTGTTAGTAACAGCAATAAAGAAATGCCAGAAAAAACAATTCGTACATTTTATACAATAATTACACTATAATATTTACAAATCCTTTAACTGATAGTCATTTTAAACGTTTAGGAATAAATTATCACATACCTACCAGCGAAATGATTTAGATTAGAGTATTTAACACTTGCTCTTTTAAGACATAAATTAATAAAGTTACTTATTTACACTTAGTTTAGTGTAAAATAATTATTACAATTAATAAGTTAATTATTTTTTTTAATTTTAATAAGTAGTACAATTTAGTGTTGTAGATCTTTGTATCTGTAGAAATATTTTTAATGCATTGTATTTGATTAATGATCGTATTACGAATAACTTTTTTGGAGTCTTAATTGATTAATTTGTTAGTAGTAAAATTGAAGTTGCATGTTTTGTTAAACAGTAGAAATTTGTTGTAGTTGATTATTTGAAGATCTAGATAGTCGACTACATTTTGTCATGGATTAGTTTTATTAAGAGCAAGGCATTCTAGATAAATTTTACAATTTTGTATTTTATTAAAATTATTAAAGGTAATAAGATCACCAATGTACCTGCAAGTATGAGTGTAGTATTTTCTGTGAAGTTTTTCCAAATTTAAATTCTTTAATAAATAAAAATAGATTACAAAGATTTGTGGACGTGTGAGCTCCCTTTGGGGTACCCTTCTACTTGCCTAAAAAGTTGATTTCGAAATTTAATGTAGTTATTAAAAATAGTGCATTTAAGGAAGGTTTTCCTTCTATTAAAGTTTAGAATAGTCAGCATAGTTGGAAATATTTTAGATAGGTCAAGCATTCTTCTAATAGATGCAAAGTATACAAGTTTTCAAAGTCATAGCAGCTGATATTTTGCATATCAATAGCCTGAATGGTAATAATTACTGGAATGTTATTATTGATGATCCAACAATAATTATGTTCTGTGTTTACAAGTATTGAAAATTAATTTACAATTTTCTTAAGTGAAATAAAATATCAAAATTCTTCTTATAATTGTTGGTGCCATTTCCAATGAATCTGAATTTAAGTGGTGTTTTATGGAATTTGGAAATAGCATAAAAGTTAGCAAATCTATTGTACCTCAGATTGATAATGATTTTGAGTGTTTTTTTTTAAATGCTTTAATTCTGTTAATGATGGAGGTGTCAGTAGTGTTTGTATTGGCGTTATAAAGTTCTTTGCTAATAATTGTTTTGTACAACATTTTTCATACAATGCTAAAATTAATATTTGCTTTATCTATTTTGGTTATGGTAAATTGTTTTAAATTTTTTACATTTAAAAGAAGTTCAGACCAATTTAAATGCCTTTTAAACTTTGCAATTTTAAGTTGAGCTTTGATATGCTAAAGTATTTCATTTTTCCATTTAAAAAAGGCATTATTAATTACAAATTAAGCTAATAAATATCCTTAAGCTAATAAATATCCTTATTAAGTTCATTGATGCTATTTTGTAAAGTTTTTAAAACATTTTTGCTGACATACCTGACTGGTCTATATTTTACACCATAACTCATGAACTTTTAAGTTGCACGTTTTGAATTATATTCAAGTTTTGTATTGGAGGTGATCATCTATGTAAGGACTGAATTGTGGCCATTTGCAATGTCATTCTGCCGACTCGCCTATTTCATGGTAAATAGTGAGCAAGCTGCTTAACGTTTTTTAATATTTAAATGCAACAACTGGTCTGGGGTCAATAGCTGGGAAGAAAACTTTACATTTGTTAAAAATTTGAGTGAAGCAGAAGTTTCTAAATTGTGGTTAGAGAAAATTGATTTTAATTAAAATTCTTCATTTAGTGTTATCATTAGAGAGTGTGTATTTACAGTAATAAAAAACTTGGTCCTTTAATAATTTGTATATCGTCATATTGCGAAAGAAAATATTTTTCAAGTTGTAGAAGAAATTTATTAGTACAAGAGTGTAATCAGATAAGCAAGTTTCTTGGGGAAAATTCAAAATTAAATAAATTTTTTAAATGTTACAGTTATTTAGTTGCATCTAAAATTGGTAAATATTTTTTATTAGTAATTTTACTTCCATATATATGATGTTCACATTTTTATAGTTTCTGGATAATGTTCAGTAAAAGGACTGTTAAATATAAAGTGCAAAAATCCATGTGCATTTACACACATGCCTGGTACGCACCTGCATAAGTTGATAATGCCACATGTATACCCAAATTTATGTCAAATATATGGCATTTCAACTCTTGTTGGAATCAAGGATGTTGATAACCAGGAAATACCAATAAAACACTTTTTTTCTGTTATGTAAGTTATAACATCTTTTCTACGATTGAAGTACTTGTGAATTATTTTGAACTCGGGTATCAAACTTCAGCAGTAAAATATCTACTAATAATTCTCAACTTTTATATTGAAATATACACAGCAATTAATTTTATGATTAAATAAACAAAACTTTAGTGTTCAGTGTTTTATAACTAATGAATATGATCTTGTTTTTCATTAAAATGAAGTTTTAAATGAAGTATATTTCTATATCTGTGACCAAATCTTCAAACTGACTTGCATATTTCAAAGAAAACAATTATCAAAAATCTCCCTTAAAACAATTAACAAAGAGCAAATCTTTCTTTTGGGTAATTAAATATGTAAAAAAATTATTAACTTGCATCATACAAACATAAATACGGGTAGCTAAAATCACACATTTTTATGTTTAAATATATCAGAAAAAAAATTTAAATAAGATTTCCAATATGAAAATGATTTAGAATGCACATTATTAAATTTACTACTATTGATCTGAAGTGATTTTGAGCGAACAGTTCTAAATTAGTGGTTCTTTACAGAGATTCATTAAAAAAGATGCTAAGATCCAATTGTTTGGTAGGCAAAGTATGTCAAGTAAATAAGATGGAAGAAATTTTTATGTCTTTTTATTCATCTATAAATACCCTATAGCCTTTTAAATTTGTGGATATTCATTAATTTCTTATTATGTAAGCCCAAACATAATCATGGATAAAATATTCAATTTTAAATTAAGCAACTTACAGGATGATGCACTTTAGGGTGATCTTTGTGCTTTTGAATCATTTCTTGATGATGCTTCTCAGTTTCTTTTCTTTGCTCCTCAGTCATATTTCTCAAACTTTCACGATACTTGGCTTCTTTCTCTAACTCATACTTTTTAAATTCTTCTCGTCGTTGCCTATCTATTTCTTCCAAATCCTTTGTAGCCTATTTAACATAATATTAGAAGAATTTCAAGTCAATTTATGAATTTAATCATTTGGTACAATAAATTTGTATGATAGGGAAAAATCAGTTACATAATTATAATTCATTTAATTAATAACTTTAGAATAGATTTTTTTAATATTAAAAAATTGCAACAAACTTAAATGAAAGCATAGCAAACTCGATATAATTTTCAAATATTATACAAAATGAAATTATTACATAAAAGACTGACCGTTTGAATAAGCTTTTTAAGATCTTCTATTTCAAAACTATGAGGATTCTCTATATCTAAATGTTTTGGTATTTTAACTCCTTTTCGGTTTAAACCTGCAACAAAGTTATACATATATACTAATGTAAATCATACATGACTAATAGCTTCTTAACACTATAAATTGATATTACATTTCTTCTTATGAATTCATTATATATAAAATATTATAAATCTGTTTCAGTAACTGAATTTGGAAGACATTTAGTTTCCCAGTGAAAGGAATTTAATATAGACTTTAACAAGTTATATGCATATATCAATGAAATGTCTAGTCATTAAAATTAAATGATGAAAGATGATATATAGGTTTTATGAATTCCTTCTAATTTGGAAAACTTTACTTCTGAAAATATATGAAAATTATACAGTATATTGCATACAGTTATTTACAAGAAGTGTAAAGTATACTAGCTGCTAGTATCAAATTATTTTTTTAAAGTTACATATTAGCATAATTTTAACCTATTTTTAAATGTATGTACCAAATTACAGAATATAAAATTTATATGAATTGAAAATACCAATTACAAAATCAGGAAATATTTTCAAAAGCCAAAAATAATTTGCAAAACTATAAAAACAAATTTTGAATATTTTTGTATTATTAAAAAAATTAGTACATTATAATTTTTTAAGCCAAAAAATATTAATGAACAAAACAAATGAATTCTGATGTCAAACTTTGAATTCAAAATAATTTGTAATTCATAATCATTTGATAAAATTATATATGCTTCAAAAAATTAGCAGCAGCATCATCTATTTTACATGCATTTTATTGCTTTTAACATATATGAATCTGGGCTATTTTAAATTTCTCCTGCGTATTAACAATTGTCATGACTTTCACAAACTCGTACTTACCCCTGTTGAAAAATAGCTGCATAAAATATTTATCTGATCAAACGTTTCTCTTAGAATCAGCATTTAAATAAAATCAGTCAGCTTTTAAAAACTAAAATAGATGTAAATATGTAATAAAATAAGACTATCAATATTTATTATTTAATGTGCATGTTTTTACATACATCCCTTGCATTATATACTATTCATTTTTATGAAAGACGTATATTAATATCTAGTTTCCAACCTAAAGAGATTTAAAGCTTTTTTTCTTACATAAAAAAACGGGGGAAAACCATAGCATCCAGGAAGTAGGTGTAAGGCAGATTTGCAAGTGAGTGCAAATGCATAAAGAACTGCATACAGAAAAATATATGAAGATAAGCAGTCAAGAATAAAGCTATTTTACAGTTTCCAAAATAACCATAATAAATGGTAAAGCACCGACATTCAGCCAGAAGCCCAGACTTATTTGGTCTGGCTAAATGAAACTGCATTGTCAGATTTTCCCTCAAGATCAAAATAAAACTATTTTACTACAGATGCCTTCTACACATGCAAATACCAAGACAGTTAGCTTTAAACTAACTGAATTTTATTTTTTATAGCCTAACATTTAGTTAAATATTTATAGAAAAAAATTAATATTATACTGCTCTGTATGTACTGGTATTTAATAAAAATGAGGTCAACTATCAAAGAACACACACAATAAAGAATTTCAACAAGCAATAAAATTATACTTATCACATTATTTACACTCAATGTTTTTGCAACTACAGTGGACTCCATTTTATGAACTCATACAGTTGAAGCATTCATAAAGAAAAATGGAATTAAAACAATCAAACATTTTTCATGATTGGTGTAAATATCAGTTCAGGTTCATAAAAATGCAAGTTCATTGTATTAAATAAAACTGGAAAGAAAAAAAGAATAAAGGAAAACGCTGACACAATAATCCAAGAAAGAAAACATATTAACCTATTCTGAAGTTACCTTTTTTAAGTCATTAAAATTTTTAATTAAATTTAAAGCTACTTTAATTATTAAAAAATTTTATCTGCTATTTTTAATGGAGTAATCTTCTAATGCTATTTAAATATATATATCAAAGAACAGAAATCAGCATTTATGCCCCCCAAAAAAGATTACCACCCCAAATTTTAAAAGTTTTAACACATTTAGTTTCATTTGTATCCATATACATATAACATACTAATTTAACAGGTCTGCACTAGTTTTGATACTGTGATATGCATTCAGATTGACTATTCTAAGGAAAATAAATTTTATGTATAACTGAATAAAATAATGGTTTCAGGTGGCTCGATAGCACTTTGATAGACAAAACAAAATTTTTTATCCAAAACTAATTGTGCTCTAAGAACAGATATAAATATAATATATTTTACAAATATATGACATGGCATTAGGGAAAATTTAACAGCCATAAATAACTTTTTTTATATGGTGAAACTCAATGTGTTAGTCTAAAAAACAAAACTAATGCAATTTGGTCACAAGTTTTTATTGTATTATTAAAAATATCAATAACTATGAAATAATTAAAAAGAGAAAGATAGACAGATGAAACATAAAGCAGATAAAGTATTAAAATTCCTTGTACTGTAAATAAATTCATTTGTTTAATCAAATGGAAAACAAAAAATGTTGATTTCCCTGCACATAGTATGCCTCTATAAAGGGCTTCCTATGAAGCTTATATTTGCATTACACACAGAAAAAACAATGCAAGCATTCATGGAACCTCTCTACTTGAGTGGATTTGAACCTAGGTCAAAATACCATCATTCAGTTATGGACATGGTCAACAATGGGCTATAAATATATTTAAAAACAAATGAAAATTTTAGCAAAAGGTTAATTATTAAATCTTTTCTGTGAGCATCCATCTTTAGTGTTAAAATTTTTTAATATAATTTTCAATAAATTTTTTCTCCAAAAACTGCTTTTGCTTTTTTTTCTTCCTTTATATCATAAGTAACAATCTTCTGCTACTGCAATAAAGCAAGATTTTTTTATGACTATGCTAAAAGTGTAATGATGTATAATTTATTTCTTCCAAATAATTTATTTCTTCCAAATAAATTATTATTATTTATGTTCCTCCATGACCCACTTCAAATACTTTAAAAATGCTACATGTATAACTGAAAAATTTTAATAAGCCATTAAATGTAAAATCTATGTGTCCTTATACAATTATTAGTTTTATTTACAATGCAAGTGAAAAAACTGCAAAAAAAATAATGAAAGGTACATAATTCCAAGCATTAATGTAAAATTATTAATATCTGAAAGAGCTAAATAAATCAATTTTAACAAGCATGCAGGTGGGGAAAGCAGCATATGAGGCTGAATGAATATATTTTTCCCCCTAATAAATAAATAGGCAGCAAGAAAGCAAAACTGCAGAACAGAAAATGAAAAAGGGGGAAAAAAAGAAGCCAACCTAACCAGAAATTCCCATCACCAACACCACCTTCAAAACCACTTCTGTGGTTAGGTATAGTTCTCCAGCGCCGACCATCTGGTGAGTTCAAGAGATGACCATCTTCATCACGGTACAGACCTAATTCAGTGCGCTCCATCTGTTCCCGTATGAGCTTACGGAGTCTGTCCACTTCCATGCGCTTCAGCTCGTCCAATTTTGAGCGAACATTATGTTTCACAAATTCCAGTTCTTTTGCTATATGTCCACTCTACATTTAGATAAAAACAATCACAAATTATATTAAATAAAAATAAATTTCTTGCAACATACAGAAATTAAATGATCAGAAATAAGAATAAAACATTCATTTTATTTATTGTTAAAATCAGCTATTTAAAAGATGTTGCTTTTAATCGCTTAATTTGCAATCTTTATAATATAACACAGTCCATGTTTTAGATAAATGTTCTGCAGTAAAGAGAATAAAGTTTTTCAATATCTCTTATAAAGTATCCTCTTCTTTTTTCATTTGGCTCAATCTCTATTATAAAATCAGACAATTCCTTTACCTTTTCTAACAAATTGTTTAACTTCTTGTACATTCAAGGCTCTTTATCTTCTTCACTATCACTACTTTCACTGTCAGCTGTTTTATAGCATCATCCAATTCTTCATTTGTCATTTCATGATCAACGTTCTCAACTAATAATTTGATTTTTCCATACCTGAAAGTCTTTCATCACCTATTGCTTTTGCAATTTTGTATGATTTCCTTGGTTTCATTTTTGATCAAACGAAATCCTTTAAAATTGTTGACAACTTCTCTCCAGCAGTGATGTCAACAAGTATCCACTGTTGACATAGCACTTGTTCCCATGCAAACTTAATCATTTCTAAGCAGTGTCTCATATTAAATTGCATCCAAAATGCCAAATCTGCTGCTTTTCTTTGTCTAGTGCTTTTTTGCAGAAATATAAATATGTCCGACATAACAGGCTTTGAATATTTTTATGATTCTTTAATTCATTGGTTAGCTTAACGAAATGATGTTCAGTCAAAGGAATAAAACCTCTACATTAAGATGCAGTTTTGTAAGGGCTTCAGTACTGAGACCTGGAACATTATCAAGAATTAAGAGAGCGTTAAAACTGAAGTTTTACTGTTCTAAATAACGTCTAACTTCTTTAATCAATTAATTTTTAAACTGATAATCTTCTGACTGGCACAGGGTTTCGCTAAAAAGTCTAAATTTTACAAAACTGCCACCAGAAACAGGATTCCTTTTTTTCCCTTTACATTTTAATGCTAAAATGTCCTTTGTAATACATGGATTTAAATATTTTTAATACATTGTGTTAACATTTTGGGCATATTTCAAGATGCTTGTACATATATTTTCTTAAAGATGTCACAAAAAATATTACACGTCATATGATCATAAAGTGAAAGAGGACTGTAGCAACATGGCCGACACCGTGCAGTGTATTTAAAGTTTTAAATATTTTTTTTGTTTTTATAATTCAGGGGTCATATACAAGCTGAAAATCAAAATTTTTAAATCTTTGCGTTACTAAAAATTAAATAACAGTTTAGAAAAAAGTTTTTGATATTGGTAGATAAAATGCTAAGCATTGATAAGCACACTGTTGTGGAATATTCAGATCAATATTTTTTCCCCAAAAAAAGGATGTCTTATTTACAGATCCTTAAGAGGAATAATGCTCTAAAAATAGTGACAACCTTCACGTATTGGCATATCGTCATCTTGTAATATTATTTGCATAAATCTAAAATTAAAATATTTCTTTTCCAATGAATTTTTAATCAATATTAAATTATGAATCCTAAACTAATAAAATGGGAAGTGAATATTATTAATGCATTTTTAGTATTTAAAAACGTATAATGAATTAGTTGTGTGAAAATACAGGCCTTTTGGCATACCAGGTGCCATAGAAATATCACTAAATGACATTAAATTTAAGGGAAGAAAAATCAGTACTTATGTGTTATCCCATTGGCTGTGAAACTATAACCAAGCAGCGTATTTAGTGCTAGTTATGGATAAGCATAAGCCATGACATTAAAACATATACTCATAACATCTGCACTTTTGTATGATGTAACCCTGGCTGATTCTCAATAAGCGATCCCTTGTTTTCATGAACTAGAATAAAAATTAACTGTTATTGCTGTAGTTTTTCTCTTGGAAAAAAGGAGGGAAAAAAAGATTGTGCAAGTGTGCAACGATTCATTTACAGCTGGTTGAGAGAATCAGCATCTGTAGAATGGGAAAATGATCAGCTGGGTAAGACCCATAAAAAACAAACAGATTGGAACAATTAGCTGATGGAAGATTTTACTCATCATGTCCTACACTGAGCTTCCAGTAAAATTAGAGAGCCTAACAAAATGGCAAAAATTGATTGACAAATTGTACAGAGAGATTGACAAATATGTTATCCTGAAAGCTGTCGTTCAGACTTCCACTATAATGATTGCCTAACTTTGGCAGATTCTTTGTCAACTTTCCTGGTTTGATGGTAGCCAACTTCTATGGTCAATGGAATAAAGTGTATAAACAAAAAAATCTTCATGTTAACATAATTTGTTTTTTAAGCCAGCTCTCTAAAAAGAGAGATGCATTTGGTGTTTTAATACTTAAAAATCTATAAAAATCCCAAAATTTTGAATAAAATACCTGGTGAGGGCATTGCTCAGTTTTCATGTCTCCTGCTTTAAAAATGCCCTAGTGACTCTACAGAGGTGTCCAAACTAAAAAACAAAATGGTGGATGATAATTCTTCACCACCAGGATTTGATGATTGGGGCCATTCTTTAAAAGGGGGAGTCTATATATTATTTTCTCCTTCCTTTCTGCATGTCTTCATGATGTAACGGTAGCACACTCAGCATGTTTTCGAGTACCGGTAAGGGCATTGTTCATTTTTCATGTCTTCTGCTTCAAGACAACCTAATGACAGACTTTTACCAGATGTAACTACTGTGACTGAGGGATTGCATATACAGTTAGATATCATAATTTTAACAAAACTATTTTTAAATTTTGAAAATGTTCGAATATGAATATTTGCCTTATTTAAAACATTTTGTTGTTAGAAGTATATGTCTATAATGACTAGTTGATAAAATCTAGGTTGCATAAAGCTTTTCATGAATATGGTGTATACAGATTCACTTCCACGTGTAAAAACTTATCAAAAATTAAAGGGGTAGCTTAAACAAAGATAAACTGGATTATGATTTGTGCAGGGTTGGAAACTCCATAATGTGCAAATGTACAGGAAACACAAGAAATAAAAGAGCAACACAAAAGTGGAGAATGTTATTTTATTCATCAATATGCAGCAATTGCAATATTAAGAGAGGCCACTGACACTGAAGGTGTTTGAAGTTTCGGCCCCCAATCATAACAGAAGGCTGACAGCAATGCTGCAAGAAATCATGAACATTTTGAAATATTCTGAGTGTCTCTCAGATAGCTAAGACAGCTATGCAGATGCATGCAACAAGACCCTCATCACTCTTCACAGGTGTATCATAAACCAGACTTCTCTTAGGGTCAGTGAGAAAAAAAATCCATTAAGGAAAGTTTCAGTGATTATTTAGTTTAATGAACACCAGTTTGGGAAAGACTAAACCCAAAAATATCTTATAAAATCTTCTGTTCAAATGAACAGGTGAGAGATATGAGCCTATTAAGTGGTTCGTCACACTGGCAAACAATATATTGATAGTAAACCAATGTTATACTGTCTGTACACTGTTTGTGTAATAGCAACGTTTGCTGGTGAAGTATGCCTTGTCTATGAATAAGATGGAAAAAAGGCATCCTTTCTACTCTTCTGCAAATACCGTTGAGCAAAAGCAAATTTCTATATGTAATCATCAGGCTGCAGTAGCTGTATGCACTATTCTTGGTATTGTGCAATTGGTTCAAATTCATGATCCAGAAGATGGTTTGGGGATTATCAAAAGAAATAACGATTGATGATGTACAGGCACATAAAGTGCCTTTTACAGCCTCTTCGATTTCAGGGGTCCAATTCATGACATTTCTCTCTAAAGAACTCGCTTCACATAAACTTTGATGCAGACATGCAAATGACTGGTGATTAATCAAGTAGTATGAAAAGTAGAGGTTCTTAGCAGGTTGCCTGTTACTATCAGTAGCTCCGTATAATAAATGCATATCTGCTAACTACATCTGAAACTTTCATCTGCTACTTCTGTTAAGTGGTTTTGAAGGAGGTTTTCCTATGCTGGCACTTTACTGGTTGCCCAGCAACTCTCTCTACTGAGTTACAATGTGACTCTGGCCCTGATTCATCTATGAGTATCCTACACAGATGTCTGTATATATTATAATGAATTACAATGTATATACAGATATACATAGTGTGTGTGTGTAAATATTAACTTTAACTTGCAATAAATCCTTAAATCTTTAGGTTATTTTGAAGCAGAAGTTGGAAAAATGCACAATGCCTTTGGCGGGACTAGAAACTCTAGACTTCTTGAATACACATTGAGTATGCTTTCAACTACACAATAAAAGCATGCAGAAAAGAGGGAGAAAATACCTCATAAAGTGTCATTCAACAGTATATTTTATTTTCACCAATATCTTATATTTTGAATCATGAATTATAAGTTCATATATTTCTCATCACTGAGTTTTCTTTGTATTTTAGGAAAATGGAAAAAAAAGTTGTAATGTTTTAATAAAGAAAATATATAAAACAATTACATTAATGTTAATTACATTACATTAACATTTATTGAAGCAATCAGTACTATGTGACTGTCATTCATTAAATAATGTTAAAATCAGTGTTCATAAGAAAATTTGCTCATCTTCATGTTACAGTTTCCAAGTAAAGTTTTTATTCTAACACAAGTTGAAATCTGAATTACTTCTTGAGTCATTAATCAGACTAATATTCTAATAAACAGCAAACAAATTTTCATACAAAATTATTTGTATATACTCTCAAAGAATACTCTGAGTATATCATATATAAATTATAGACAAATGTAGCATGTATGAATTTAAGTTAAACATTTAGCAAAACTTTCTCACTACCTATGGTACCAAACAAGCATCAGAAATATTGTCACATTAGGGAACATATCTATCATTGATGCTCAGTTCAATACTTTAACTATACCCTGAGAAATGCTGGGCACTGTCAGAAGTGGGCATCTTAGGGAAAGGATGGCCTTTATGCAAAAAGTATATAGTTT